CAAGGACGGAGCCAAGGGGGGACCTACGGGTGCCACGGCCCCCCCAACAATTTTAATTTTTTTTATATACATATATATTACTATATGGCACCCCCTATTTTTAATATAAACTCATATGTATAATTAAATGAATAACCCAAATTTATTTTTTTATTCAACTTTTGGACTTCTGGTACGGCCTGCTATGTGGTATCACTTTGGAATTTTTTTTTTTTTAAAAAAATGTAGCGCCTCATTTGATCATTCTCAATTCTTGCCTTCTCAATTCTCGGCCCCCCAGTATTGAAATCCTGGCTCCGTCCCTGCTGTTATCCAAACTGATCCAAAACACTTAAATGAGAGCATCTATGATCTTATTATCTCATAGCAGCGCTTCTTACAATAAAGATACTAGACAAAAAATGATGAGAAACATTATAAGTCAAGGATGCTGACTCAAGTATAAATATATAGTCCGATTATACATGTCACTTTACTAGAAAAAGGTTTTACTATTTAATTAAAGTCACAACTTCGATTGAAAATTTTTGACATGCCAATTGAAAATGAAATTGAACAAAAAAACAAAGATCTCTCATCTTTATAGTTAGTAGTCTTCACATCAACTAAAAAGTGTCTTGATCTCTTCCAATAGCATGCAACATGAATGGAATGTTGATGTGGATTACTCTTTGGGTATTAGAATTGTCCTCTATTCTTATGATGCATGGTTAGTTTGATTTATATCCTCCTCCACACTTTGAATCTTTCCCTTTGTTCCTTTTGATTGAAGTTACAGTGGGATTGAATAGCAGCATGAATGCAGCTTGGAAATAAATAAAAGAAGATGCCGCCGGCCAGCACACATAAAAGGGACCATAGAAAGAGAAATGAAGGATGGAGAGAAGGAAAAAAAAAAAAAAAAAAGTAATTTGGAGCAAAAAAGAATAAAAAGGGACAGGGCAACTTAGAGCAAAACAAATGGTGCATGAGACAAAGATGGTTCAATTAGGATACGAAAGAAAAACATGGTGCCAACATCTTGGCCCATAATATTTTGTCCATATGCTTAGTTTGTCAATTAGAGACCACTATCATCCAACTAGCAAAGTTAGATAAGGCGTGGGCGTGATGATTTGGTACATTTCTGTTGCACTTTTCTTCATTACTATTTTTTAATTCAACAGTTATATGTGAAGTTTACTGGTTAGTTGCTACTGTGAAACTTAATATTTATTAAGGTGACCAAGAATGGATTGGGAAGAAACAATATAATGACAAATTTATATTTATAATTTTATTCCGTCGGCGGTAATTAATTATATTGATGGTGCATATGTGAGGAATAATTGGACAGAAGAATTAGTGGATCTTTTGAAGAATGAAACAAGAGGAGCCAGGCCAATAGATCATCTTGTTAATGATATGCATCCCTCATTCAACTTCCTATCTTATTGATTCTCTAAATTGTGAAAGATTCTGGTTCATAGCACAAACTGATTTAGTAGAAAAATTAAGACACTATAATTGAAAGAGTCACATATCATTAGGATGCAGAAAGTTCAGAAAATACAAATGTCCTAAAGATGATTTGGTGTAATATTTTTATTTTCTTTAGTTTGTTAGTTACATTACATAATGTTTTTCAGCACCTAGTGCCTACCCGGTGGCATTCACGTAACAGCTAATTTTTTTATTTAAAAAAAGACCTTTTTGAGTATATATGATATTAGTAGAAAGTATTTATGATGAAAAACTCATCCCTAATAAGATTAAAAAAAAAATACATACAAAATGAATATTTTTTTTCCAATCTTTTGGTGATATTTGGTAGGATAGATGTTTTAATATTTTTAGAGAAATAACGTGAAAACAAAAGTTTCTTTTTTAATATTTAGATAAATAAAATAAAACATTTTTGAACATAAAAAATAATCTTTGAAAATTGAAACGTCAATTTATAAATAGGGAATAATATTTATTTTATTCACCTTTCTAGGTGGAAAGAAAACTTTTTCGTGCTAATTGACTTTTTTTTAAATATAAAAAGTGGTAAAATGAGGAGACATTCTTGATATCATCTGTCAAATACCAGTGACATGTTTGGGTTTTCTGTAAAGCATCACTCAGAAAATTACAAAATCCAGTATAAACACAAACAGATTCACATCAAAGATGCTAGCAAAGAGTCACCAAAAGAATTACTTCACAAGCCTAAAATTTTATCCGGTTGCAGTTTATACTTTAAATTAAACCTGAATCAATATATCCTAAACTTAATTAATCACATAAAGGATAAAAGTAACAATAGCTCATATTTTTTAATTCAAATGAATTATGAATTAAATACAAGCCACCTTTATTAAAAAAAATCATACTAAAACAAAATTAAAAAAATTAGAGTCGTCTAATTTAAGAGAAATATTTTTTTATCTTTAATTTATATTTTTATTTTTGATAAAATATCATCTCATTTTTATTTTACGTTCAAAATTTTATATAAAAATATATTTTATTAATTATCAATGTCTTTTATATAATTTAAAAAAATAGAGTAAGATTTTTATAGTTTAAAGAAATGGAAAAAGAACACTTTAACCAAGATGCAAAATCTATCGTGTATCGAACAAGTTAGATTTAGTAATGCTCGCCATGATCAACAAGATGTGACAGCACAAGATGAACGTACGTCTCATAATCACATTCTTCTTTATCAAATTACAATTACAGCATGTTAATCCTTGGATTCTCTATGTTTTTAATTAATTTCCAAAGTTTAAGTTAATGATGAATGAAACAACACCAATTATTACATAGAAGCATTATATATCCCCTTCATTTTCTTCTTTCCAGAGTGATATCATGTCTACTTTGTGTCATATTAATTGCCCTTTTTCCTCTGAAATAGACCCCTTGTCCTTGCATAGTCCTCCTTAGCTTGCAAATAATAAAATTACAAATGTAATCTTACATTGAAAACATGCGTATACCAATATAACATTTTTATGTGTTAAATATATTTTTATTTTTATTTTTTTAAAATAGATTTTAGATTTTGTTCATTTTTAAAATATAAATATCAACATTTTTTCTATAATCATCATATGATATATATTAATTATTTATGTATCAAATAAAAAATCACCTTGAGCAAAGGTATTGATCAACTAACACGAAAATTATTCAAATTTAATCCATGATTTTGAGTTCATATTATGCATATGTAACTATGTTAAATATGTAAAGAAGAAAAAAATTCACGTATTTCAAATAAAATAATCTATAACAAAAATAAAATCATTTATAGTGATATTACCTGTTTCAAATGACTATTTTTAAAATAGAATTCACGTGATTTAGATAATAAAAAAATTATTATCTAATTATCCATATGAAATCCAACAATTCATATATATAATACATGATCGAATTCTCAAAATATTTTTCAGTTATAAAATAATCGTTATTTGTCTGCACTAAAACGAATATTAAGTGTAGAAAATAATGTTATCAAATTTTAGAAGAAAAAAAATATGTTGATATGACATGAATTATAATAATATCAAATTTTAGAACAGTGAAACCAAAAAAAAAATATTTAAAGAATTTCAAACAATTTTAAGGATAAAACTTTTATGTTAGAAGATTTTTTTTATCATTTATTAATTATTATCATGCAATTTATACTATTTTTATATAATAAAAAAAACTAAAATTGTCAAAAATAATATATACGCTAAAATAAGGAATTACTTATATATATATATATTAAATTTTATATAAATCAGAACTAGATATTATAAATTTTACAAAATTAAAAGACTTAATTACAATATTAAATTTGAGAGATCAAAATCTCCCATCACGCAATGTTAACTATATTATTTTTATATAAAATATTTACATCCTTGATTATCTCAAGGTGATGAGGAAAATGCAATATAATAACATCACAAGTAGTGTTTAGTTATAAGAAGGCAGAGAGTTGTTAGGGTAGATGAACCTAGATTTTTTTATTTCATTTTTGTCTTGGGGGATAGAATTAAGAGAATTTACAAAAAAAGAGATCACAACCTAAGCCGAAGCCAGTCTAACTATACAATTCGCCACTTCTACAAAAGTTGCAGCCTATTCTAATATTCTGATACATTTAATATGTAATCCACATAATTCTCCCTCCCCACATCCTTGTTCCAAGTGACCCTCAACCATCCAAAAAGGTTGAAGTGATCCCAACTTAAAATTAAAAAACATAATCAAAGGGTCATTTATCTATCTACACTTTGAAACTTTGGTCCTCAATTTCTTTTGATTCCACGTGGACTTCTCCATTCTTTCCAGTCAAAGAACTATCTCCTTCGGCATCAAAGCTAGCATGAACACTGTACAAGACATAGAAAAGCACCGCAACAGCCGAAAAGAATCCAAATCGAACATAGGATGGCCCATCCAGTGATCCCAACAGAAACACATTGAGAAAGATTGAAATAGAGGGTATCCAGGGCATGAATGGGACACCCCAGAATTCTGGCTTTCGAACCTGAGGGACCATGCAATGGAAAAGTTGTAATATTGCAATCGCAACAAGACCACTGGCACTCAGCATCCCTGCTTTTGCCCCTCCTGTGGGTACAAATTTCCAAATAAGGGTGAACATGATAGCGGTAAAGGAAAATGAGCAGAGGAAGGACAATGTAGGCCATGGATTCGTTGTCCCAGTAGCCACATAACGTCTATAGATCACGGCATTTGCCACCATGTAAAAGACAAATAGGGTACCAATGGACACCAGATTGAGGAGGACATCAAGATCAGTGAAAAGGGCTATTGCCGCTGTGAAGATTCCTGAAAAGGATGCGGATGTGAGAAGAACCAGAAATAAAGCCACAAATCATAATTTCAATTATCATGCTAGCTATCACCACTCGTTACTCAAGTAACCTCGAAAAAGAAATTTCAGATTAGAGATTGCGAGAAGTCAAAAACGCACCACAAAGCATAAAATCATGGAAATCCAATAAACCATCATTGAGGGTCACTTTAACTAGCTATATAAAGAGCCAAGATCATGATCAGTCAATGATTCCAATCAAGAGGAATATATTACTCATCCAATAGTGGGAGTCGAATCAATAAAAACCACTAATATCTTCCATGTGAAATGCTTTATTATTCTTCTAATGGGTTGTAAAGGAAAATCGAGGGTCACATTTGAGAAGCCTATTATTATTTTTCATCAGTGAGTGATTCATATCTTTCCCATCCTAAGCCACGCAGGCACGCAGCAAACCACAAAACACAGTTGTCAACAGTACTTCCATCCATATCTAGTCATGGTACTGTTCATCCAACGCGTGACTCCAAGCCAATCCGTGTAAAGGATGGGATAAATAGACACACATACTATAGGGGGACCATATATTACTATACAAAATATAGGAAACCACGTTAGAGGCACACAGCCCTTGAGAACATGTGAGACCCATATGGGAAAATCTTTTCTAACAAGCACTGTTTTGGGGGCCATTACCCACTTTCACTTTCAAATAAAAATAATGCTAAAAAAACCTAGGGTGGTTCGTTTCACAATTACCTATGTGAACTTGTGACGCGATGCATCTGACACCGTTCCAACAATGCCAATTGAAAAAACCTGATAAAATGCAAGAATCTCGCACCGCAATGGAAACTCCTATCAAGAAGTATGTTCAAACTTCGAAGAGACCCTCACATGTGCTTTGAGCTTCGTGTGGCACACACTCATAAAAAGCATTTATTGATCATTAAAAAAATCCACCAACTTAAATGGTATAGATAAGATCAACCTCCTAATTGTCAACGCGACAATGTGTCAAGTATCACTATGGCCAAAGGCACATTAATGAAAAAAAATCATTTCTCCCATCACACATTCACACCTCAGCAAAAGACAAAGTTGTTGAAAAGTGGGCCCCCTTCCCCCTCTTTCCGAAATCACACAATCAAACCCATATCATAACGCACAACACACATGGGCAGGTGCAAAACGAAGCCAAAAACAACACTAGAACAGGTAGAAATTCATTCAAAAACACAAGTCCAATAAATAAATGTTATAAACAACTTGAATAATAGTAATTAGGGATGGAAATGAGTAGTAGTACCAAGAAAAGCTGAGGCGTTGACAGGGGTAGAGGTCTTGGGGTGGACCCTAGCGAACCAAGATGGGACCACATTGGAACGGCCTATGACGCACATGTATCGAGCCTGACCCAACATCGCCACCAACAGCGACGTCAGTATCCCGAAGCTGGCCCCCACTCCTATCACTCGAGACACCCATCCCCAACCGTCCGATTTTCCACTGAACGCCGCCGAAAACGGTGCTTCTGCATCGATCTGCGTGCACCAAACTCATCAAATCATCCTCTACAGCTAATCAATTACACAACACTAAACTCTTTTTTGGTAACTTACATTTCCCTAATTAATTAATTTTATAAGTATCCAAAAAAAACCAACGGACACTCTCATATTTACAATTATATATATATATTTTTTGTCTGCCATATTCTTAGAGTGATTAGACATCAGACTTTGTAAAAGGAAAAGGAAAATACTAGTATTCTTATAATGTTAATACAAAAAATAATTATTAAACCCACCATGTCGTAAGGAAGAAGTTTGGTCATGGAAGCGGCCATAAGACAGTAGAGAACCGTAACAATAACCACGGAACCGGAGACACCGATGGGAATATCCTTCACAGGGTCTTTGACTTCCTCCGCCATAGTCGAAACGGCGTCGTAGCCAATATAACTTAAGTAAACGGCGGCTGCACCTTTGAAAACTCCAGCAGCACCGTATGGGAAGAAACCGGAGGGGTTTTCCGGGTTAGCGGCATGCGTAAAGTTTTTCCAACTCCCTCTCCAGAAGCCTATTGTTATCACAAACACAATGAACAATATGTGCAGCGCCGTCAGTATCATGTTCACCACAGAACTCTCTCTCGTACTGAAAAAAAATATATCATATATCAGAAGTTAATTAATATATAAGAGAGAGTTGAGAAGGAAGGTTGATAGGAACCTGTAGCAGATGACGAGGGTGATCAGCAAAACGACAGCCACGGCCACGATGTCGATCTCGTTAAAGCCTTTGGGAAGAGAAGGAACGATGAGGCGCCATTTAGCGGAGGAGATTCCAATGGCGGCGCCGAGGTACGCGGTGAAGCCTCTGGCAACGGCGGCATTCGACAAGACGTAGTCCACCACGAGGTTTGCGCCGGTAAGAAATGCAGCGAATTCGCCTATGAAAACGACGTCGTGGAGTTAGTTAGTTGAGAAAGAAAAAATGGAGCGGATCTTATGATCTATATTTTCGGCTATTGTGTTGTGTTGCATTATGTATTATGTATGACATGGATTAATAAATATGTATTTTAATAAAAATGGTAATAATGTATGATTTGATGTAATAAGGAGGGGCCGACCGAAAGTGACGCGGAGGTAGCTGAAGGCGCCGCCGGCGACCGGCATGTCGACGGCGAACTCGGTGTAGCAGAAGGCGGAGAGGAGGGCGCAGAAGCCGGCAATGGCGTAGGAGAGGAGGACGGCGGGGCCGGCGTAGTGGCGGGTGGCGTTTCCGGTGGTGACGAAGACGCCGGCGCCAACCATTCCGCCGATGCCGAGGGAGACGAGGTCGAAGCAGCGGAGGGTCTTGCGCATGGTGGGGCCAGAGCGGGCTCGCACGTGGCTAACCTCATCGTAGCAGGTGGAGACGGAGAGGGCGCGTCGGGCGAGGCGCGTGGGGGTGTGGGAGAGGGCGCGGAGGTAGGCGCGGAAGCTGGAAAACGAAGAGTTTGAGGAGTCCATTGCAATAGGAAAGGGTTATGTTGGTAAGTTGTGAGTTGTGAGTTGTGAGTTTTGAGTGCGATGTGGAATGGGTTGGTTGGTTTTATAAGGTGGACATGCTTTGCCTTTGCACTTGCCTTTCGTTTAGAACCCAACAGTTGTGTCTCTGTCTCTGTCTCTCTGCCTCTGCCTCTGCCTCTGCCTCTGCCTGTTGCCACATCCTCATTAAATATTAAATCAATATTTCAAAATCACTCTTCCCCTCCTTATCTCCCCCAATTCACCTCTAACTCTAACACACCCTTCCTATCTTTATTTCTACCAAATCAATTTATATATTCTTTTAATTTTAAATTTCTAAATCATATTAACTAATTATACCACGTCTTAATCACGTTTCATAACTCAATCCAAATTCATTTTACCACTTTGTACCCTTTCAATATTTTAATGAGCTAGAAAAGACTAATTGAGAAAGATTAATCCAATACTCCACCAATTATACTTCATCAGTAACTTGGCTCATTCGATAAATGTCAATACAAATACGACTTAAAACATTTATCTGATATAAAATTTAGCTATTAATAACTTGATTGAATATCATAATATATTACTTATATTAAGTTGTAAAATTTTGAGATTTTAAGATTCTTGAAATCCATGAGAATATAATAGTTAAGTATAAAATTTCCAATTTAAGATAAAAGTCAGAATAATATCTTTTTTTAAATGTTTCGAAATTTGACAATAACAAAAAATTTTCTAATATGTTTTCCTTATCAGAACAATATTATTTTTATTTGCACTATTGATTAAATGTTTGACTTAGGTTCAACATAGGAAACATCTATTATATTGATTGAAGAGAGTATTATAAATATATTTTATATCTTAATATTTTGACATACCTTTTTGGTTTTTAGTAGAAAGATTAAAAAAAAATAAAAGGTTGTTACATTTAATTGATTTTAGTCTCTAAAATTGAACAAGTTTTAATTTGAAGATTTTATATTTTTTATTATTATAAAATTCAAATTTATTATTTTTAATTTCTATTATTATAAGATAATTTTTTACTGAGTGTTTATTAAAAAAATTAAGTGATGATTCTATATATTACTTACAATGGTTAAAAATTTATCATAATGCATGACATTTTTAAAATTTATTACAAATTTTTAAAATATTATTTATGTATTTTAAAATGATCATCGAAAACAATATTAAAAAACAGAGAAGCCAACGGAAAAACTGAAACCAGGCTATCTGAAAAAAAAAAAAAAAAAAAAAAAGGGGGGCCCCCCTGGGAATCCTTTG